CTCGAAGTGGGACGTGTGAAAGGCTATTTTCAAACATCTTGTCAGAGCGATCTCGGATGACTTCTAAGATGGCCGAAGAAGGCGAACTTATTGCAAAACCCATTTGATGTCAACAGTTTTGTTAAAAACAAAGCGTTGTGCTTGAGACATCCTCCAACAATTGCCTTCGGACGGGTCCTCGATACCATCAGGTTTCCTCCTCGTCCTCTTTCTTCTTCTCCTTTTGTTCCTCCTCATCTTCCTCTTCCTTCTCCTCTTCTCGCTTCTCTTCCTCCTTCTCTTCCTCTTCCTCCTCCTGCTCATTGTATTCGTCGTCGTCCTCCTCCTCCTCCTCCTCCTCGTCATCCTCACCTCACCTCCTGCCCTTTGTCCTCCTCGCCACGTCTGAACTCGTGCGGGTAGTGAACTCCACCTGGTACCTTTGGTGGACGTCTGGGTAGGCGGCACTTCTGAAGTTGCGCGGGACGCGAACTCCGCTTAGTACCTTCTGTTGACCTTCGGGGTGAGCGGCACGTCGGAATTTGCGCGGGTAGTGAACTCCATTTGGAACCCTTTGTGGACGTTCGGGGAGAGCGGCACGTCTGAACTTGCGCGGGTAGTGAACGCCATCTGGTACCCCCTGTGGACATTCAGGAAGAGCGCCTACGCGACGTGCCGTGCGACCTTGATGTTGGTGCACCTTTTCGCCAAGCTCCTAGATTTCACGCTTTTCCCCTCCTCTTCCTCCTCCTTCTCCTCTCCCTCCTCCTCCTCCTGCTCATCATCTTCGTCCTCCTCCTGCTCCTCCTCCTCGCCATTCTTACCTCACCTCCTGCCCTTCCTCCTCCTCGCCACGTCTGATCTCGCGCGGGTAGTGTTCTCCATTTGGTACCCTTTTTTTGAACGTTCGGGTCAGCGGCACGTCTGAATTTGTGCGGGTAGTGAAATCTATTTGGTATCCGTTTTTGAACGTTCGGGTCAGTGGCACGTCTGAACTTGCGCGGGTAGTGAACGCCATTTGGTACCCGTTTTTGAACGTTCAGGAAGAGCGCCTACGCGACATGCGACCTTGATGTTGGTGCACTTTCTTGCCAAGCTCTTCGATATCACGCGCTTCCCATTCATGTGAAGAAAGATTCCTCGAAATAGCGATTTCGCCTGAGACATCCTCACAATAATGTGATTTTCGCGACATCGCATTTAAAACAAACAAGCGTTTCGCTCGAGACATCCTCGAACAACTGAGATTTACGAAATTCGTTAATCTGTAAACATTCGCGTTTCGCTTGAGATATCCTAGCCAACATGAGGTGCCGACGGATGTGTATTACTACCTCTTATGTTGAAAACTACGTTTTCGCTAAGGACGTCCTCAGAAAATGAGCGGCAGCACGACGGACCAGAAAAAAAAGAGCACGGCAGAGCATTTGCATTTCGCTGGGGGCATCCTCAACAAAATGAGATGTTCTCAACATCGTCGTGACATCGTTCTTGCAGTGCTTCGAGGTGAAGAAATGAGAGCCCAAAACGGACCCAACGACGGCTTCAAGAGCGCCCTGATGACTGCCAGAAATGACGATTTCGCTAGGGACATCCTCAATCAATGAAATACAACACCAGCATCGTTTTGAACATTGCTGTTCTGACATCGTCTTGGAGTCGCTCCTGAAAATGCTTCCAGACGGCCCACGCCAGCCTTCTAAGCATGACGATTTCGCTAGGGACATCCTCAAAACAAGATGTGCGTAACATCGCACTGGCATCACTTTAAGGCATCGAGACGGCCCCAAACGAGCCCCAAACGAGGCTCACCATGACTCCAAGAGCGCCCTCGAGACGACCCTCAAAATGCGCATTTCACTTGAGACATCCTTAACCACATAAGTTGTTCGCAACATCGCCTTTTACAAACACAGGCGTGTCGTTCGAGACAGCCACCAGAAAATGAAAGTCGCGAATACACCACATCTATGAACATGGGGCTATCGCCTGCGACATCCTCGAACAAATGAGATATTGAAAAGGTTGACGTAACACCATGCATGTTACAATTCAACTTTTCGCCTGAGACATCTTCAGAACATGGGCAGTATCACGGCATACCAACACGTAGTCGCACGGCAGAACGCGCGAGAGCACGGCAGAACACACAGGAGCACGGCAGAACACACATGAGCACGGGAGAACCCAAAAGACACACGGGAGCACGACATAACACACAGGAGCACGGCAGAACACGCAGGAGCACAGCAGAACACACATGAGCACGAGGCGCACAGCAGAAAACACATAATACATAGGAGCACGGCAGAACACGCAGGAGCACGGCACACACACAGAACACACAGGAGCGCGGCAGAACACACAGGAGCACGACAGAACACGCAGGAGCGCGGCAAACTACACAAAACACAAAGGAGCACGGCAGAACGAGCAGGAGCACGGCAGAACACACAGGAGCACGGCGGAACACGCAGGAGCACGGCAGAACACAGGAGCACGGCAGAGCAGGACTATGGCAGAACACACAGGAACACGGCAGAACGTACGCCACGGCGCCCAGCAGGGCTTACGCCCACCTGTGGAGCAGGATCCTGGCGGCCTTCGAGCCAGGCACTTTCGAGGTGAAGAAGGTGCCAGCCCACTGTTCGAGGCAAGCGGTGCTCGACGGGCTCCTGACGGAGGCCCAGAGGCGCGGCAACGAGCATGCAGACCGCCTCGCCAAGATGGGTGCCCAGATGCATGCAGTGGACAAGCAGACGGTTGGCGAGCACCATGCGCTGGCGGAGATCGTGCAGGAGCTCGGGCGCTGGATCTGTCGGGCCGCCATCATCTGGCAAGGCATCGCAGCCAAGGATTGCGAAGGGCTCCCTCCTGCTGCTGAGCGGCGCCAGGTGCGGTTCGCCGCCGCCGAGGCGTCTCAGGCGGCAGAGGATGCTGCTGGCGCTGGGCCGATGGCCAAGCGGCCACGCCTGGAGAGCGCTCGCTCGACTGGCAGCAGCTCGGCCGCCCTCTCGGCCAGCGCTGTAGCCTTCAGCATCCTGGGACACGCCCTGTCCTACGCCTGTGCTGGAGAAGGTGAGGACACCCAAGAGCTCGTAGCGTGCTCCAAGTGCGGCGCCTACATGACGCTGGGCGGCCGCTCAGGGGTGAGGCCTCGCCTCAAGGAGCGGTGCCCAGGCGACAAGGCCGACAAGGGGGCAGGAACCAGCGCAGCCTGTGGCTACGGGGACTCCATCCAGGAGGCAGGAGGCAGGAGGGGTCACGAGCTGCCAGGCACAGAGTGAAAGGAGAGGGCATCCCTGCACTGCGTTCGCAGGGGCCAGTGCCAGAGCATGCGCAGGAGCGGTACCTGGAGTGGCTTGGCATCGCAGCGGAGCCAGCGGTCGACTCCTCGGCCGCTGCGAGCAGTGCGGGCAGCGCCCCAGCGGCGGCCGCGGAGCCTGAGGTGGCGGAGGGCCTCGGCGAGGCCCCAGCGGCTGCGCCCGTCGCAGCGGCCGTCGCCAGCCAGCCTCTGCGGCGCCCAGCCGCGGCGAGAGCTGGGCTCCTCGGAGCCTACGGGGTCACCGAGGCGGAGCTCGCCGCCGCGGCCAATGCAGCAGTCGACGTCCTGGAGGACCGCAGGGTGCGCCGCCGTCTGGCGCGCCGCGGCGATCCGACCGTGGGTGAGTGAAAGTTGTGCATCGGTGAGGCTCGCGCCAGCTGCTCCCCTTGGTGAGTAGGCTTCCGTCGCCTTCGGTGCTCGTTTGGGACTCGGCTTCTCTCGGGAACGCGGGTCCCGTCTGGCCCTGTCCGTGTTTGTTTGGCCGCCACTTGCCTTGAAGGCCCCGTCTTTAATTTTAATTTTATCACGCAGGAGCATGGCATAACACCCAGAACATCTATTCACACAGCCGCACGCACAGGCACACGCACACAGGCACACGCACACACAGGCACACGCACACGCACACGCACACACAGACACATACACGCAAACACACGCACACACGCACACACAGGGAGGCAACGCACGTTTACGCAGACCGCAGGAGCACGGCAGAGCAGCACGGCAGAACACAGCAGTGCCGCAGACCACCATTCACGGACGCACATGCGCATATTCCACGCACGCACGCGCACGCGCAAACGCACGCACGCCACGACAGCCTTGCGCAGCGCATATTAAGAACGTAGGATCTCTCATAAGCCCAGGACACGAAAGGACGCTTCCCGTTCTTGTCCGGTCAGGCTTCCAGGGCTCCGATGTCTTCGGCGAGGCTCCCAGGCGAATGCGTGAACCCGGAGATCCGATGCCGATTTTTTTTTGCAATACGGGGTCTTGGGAAGTCTCGACCCATTCGCCAGGACTGGTTTTTCATCCTGGGTTGTTTTTCGACAGTCCCTGGGACCGGCGAGGGTCCCCAGAGGCCGAAAGTCGAGAAAAACTTCCGCATTGTTTTTTCAATACGTTTGATCTCTGGGTAGTGTCCGCCCCTGGGCTATTCGCCCTTCTCGTCGCCGCCGAGTGGGTGGCGCGGCTCCCGGCCAGGCCATCGCAGGCCGGGCCCGCCGGGGGCCTGCGCGCTCCAGGTGCGTCCGTCGAGGCGCTCGGCGGTGCTGGCCCGCGCCCTCTCCCTCGGGCGGCGGGATCTGCGCAGCGAAGCATGGGCGCCGCCCCTGGCCAGGGCGAATCTGTGCCCAGGGCCCGTGTGCACGGCCTCGTGGCTGGGCCAGGGCGGCGTATCGCACCGATTCGAAGAAGAAACCACGCCATTAACATAAACTTTTGGCGCTCCGCGCTCATTTCTCGGATTCGCGCTGGGAGACCCCTGGCGGGCTCCGCGCGCCAGGGAGGGGGGCCCAGCGCGGATCCAAGAAATCCGCGCGGAGCGCCAACAATTTCTGTCTATGGCGTTTTTTATTTGTTTTTTGTTTTTGTTTTGTTTTTTGTTTTTGGTATCCTACCCCGATGCTGGGCCCAGGATGGGCCTGGCCAGGGGCGGCGCACATGTTCAGGTCTCGTCGCCCTGCCCCGAGAGGTTTCAACGATGACGACATCAGCTGCACGGGAGCGCAGATCGTGTACGTCATTCTCCGGGACCCCCTGGCAGCGTTGGAGTCGACTCTCAATGCGAATCATTTTGTCAAATCCCACGTCCTGCAGGCAGTGAACCAGGCGCTCGACGGGAGGTCAGTGGGGGAGGAGAGGGGTGGGGAAGGGACGGGATGGAAGAGGGGGAGGGGAGGGAGAGCAGGGGTGCAAGAGGGAGCCTCCTCACCTTTGTTCTCGTCGTCCTCCTCCCGAAAAGCTCTCATGAGGCCCGTGAGGAGGCGGGTGCGGACAAAGAAGAGAGAGAGAGAGAGAGAGAGCAGCTTTCATGGCAACGAGACGCAAAAATGCTGTCGCGGAGAAGAATCATCTCGCCGTGGATGAAAGACAATGACAGGTCAGGTCAGGTTCCTTGCACCAGACTGGGCGCACGCAAGATACTATGCTGCCGCGCACACATGTGCATCGTCTCCTTCCCGCGGCGCTGCTGATTCTTCTTCTTCTTCTTCTTCTTCTGTTTCGTCGTCATCATCTTCTTCTTCTTCTTATTTATAACTCTTCCTCTTATTATTCTGATTCCTCTTCTTCTTCTTCTGCTCCTTCTTATCATTCTTCTTCTCATTCTTCTTCTTCTTCTTCTTCTTCTTCCTCCCGCTGCGCTTGGTTTGTGGCTGGTTGTCCCAGACTGGTGGCTTGGTTTGTGGCTGGTTGCCCATAGGGGCGCGACAGCCGCCCGCGCGTCCACGCGCCTGTGCCGCCCCTCCGGGGGGAGCCGCCGCGCGCACCGCCCTGCCGTGCGTGCCAGCCGCCACCCCGCGACAGAGGGGACGGCGGCGGGCGGCGGCGCCGAGGCGCTGCCGCCAGGCGCTGGGCCCTTTCGCGGGCTCTGCAGCTGCCGCTGGCGCTGCTAGTGGTGCTAGCCCCCCTGCCGCCGCCGCCTCCTTGGGCGCGTCCTCTGGCGCCTCTCGGGCGCCCCCTCGGGGGGCCCGCCCGGGGTCTCGGGGGGCCAGCTCTCAGGGGCAGCGTTCAGGTGATCGAGCCAGGTCAAGACACAGGCGAGGCCGCCAGCGTCGGCCTAGCTTTTCGGCACTGGGGGCTGCATGGGCGATCTGGAGAAGGCCTGGGACAGCTCGAAGGCAGACATCAGCATGGCCGTCAAAGTGCTGCGTGTCTGGTTACGTTGGTGGCTCAGCCGTGGCCAGCCCCTTCCCGCCGGTGAAGACTGCGGAGGTCGGTACCAATGGCAGGATAAGGGAGGACAAGACATCGAGGGACGCTGCTCCGTGAGCAGTTCGAGCAGTCCCGCCAGCGGACCTCAGGTGCAACGCTAGGGGAGGATGGACTCAGGAAGGAACGCATCGACCCCCAATCGCCCATTGATCGCGGATAAGGGGCCTGATAGCCCGCCCCGCACAGCAGGAGCGAGCGGATTTGCTAGCGGGGGCCTATCGCCGACCCATCGGCGATATATCCCCTCAATCTCGGGGCGGAGGGCTCCGAATTTCGGTCCGGGTTCTACTTTTAGGGCTCTCTTAGTGCTGTGTTTGGGGAGGACGGCAACAATGGGGACGATGCCCAATAGCTGGCACTGTCCTCAGCTGGCAGCGACAGCTGTTGGGCAGGCGATTTGCGTTGCAGACGGGCGACGTCCGTGGCGATTCTGGCGTCTGATCCCGCTCAGCATGGGCAGGAACTGCGGCTGGTCTTCGTCCCCGTTCGTTCCGTCCCATGTGCTGGCCCTCCTGATGGGAAAACCCACACGAGCTTGTGTCAAGGGAGGAAGAACCACCCGGACCCGATTATTGGCGTTTGCTAAACGGCCCTGGGCGTTTACTAAGCAGCCCTGCCCTGTTCGATTCCTTTCTTGGGTGCGTTTGCTAAATGGCTTCGCGTGTCGGGGTGGTTATTATGAGGGAGGACTTCCTGCTCTCTATTGTGGGGCAGGCGTGGGGGGAGGGGCGTGGACGCTCCACCCTCCGACGGGGGAAGGTGCTGTCCGGGCCGGGCGAGCGGGCGCGTCGGCTCCGCCCGCGGGGCCCCTGGCGACCCCCCCGGTCCTCTGGCGGAGGGGGGCCCGCGCTCGACGCCTCCCCAGGGTGCTTCCCGGAGGAGGTGGCTGTCGATCTGGCGCCGCTCGCTGCACGGCACTTGCGCCCCGCGGGGCCGCCGGCGGCCCCTCCTCCAGCTGAGGGGGGCCCGCGCTGGCGCTCCCTCCGGGGCCGCCCGCGCCAGCGCTTTTGACGCCGCAGGTCGGAGCGCGAGCTGCGGGGCGCGCGCAGCTGCGCCAACGCCTGCGTCGGCTAGTTGGCTCCCGTCTCGCCCGCGGGATCGTGATCGGGCAGCTGTTCCGTCTGCCAGCCAGGCCCTTCGTTCGTGCTGGCGCCGTCCTCGGGATTGGCTGATGTGATGCCACCCCCCCTGGGCTGATGATACGGTCCGCGTCTGGCGGTGTGGGGGGCAATGCAAACGCTGGCTGGAATGCACCGTCAAGTACCAGAACTGAGGGCGCTGAGGCGCCACCGCGCCACCCGTCTCGGGACGGTCTACGGGTCGATGGAGCGCGTCGTTCGTTCCTGGGATAGTGATGCCTTGCCGCTCGCCGCTCGAGGCCAGAGTGCGTGACGGATGCACAGGAGAGCGCGCCCCGTAGGATATTCGTGTCGATGCTGGGCGCCTCGCTGGCGCCCCGCGTCGTGTGGGAGGTGTGCAGAGTCGCGTGGTGCCTGCCAGTGTACCTTCGTGGCTGGTCGGAGCGCTTACCCCCGCATTTTTTTCGCTGAGTCAGCGAATCGTATACTTCGAATGCTCCGTAGTAAACCTACGAGCATTCTACGTTTTTTTGTGTTGTAGATTCGACGGGGTAATCAATTCATAGGTACATCGATTCTGCAGTCGATCTCCTACTCGAAGGGCACCTGCTAGTGCTCTTCTCAGGCTGGCTCGAGCATCCGAGAGCACTTGCCATAGCGCTTCCCAGCCTGGTTGGGGGCGCCCCCAAAGCACGCAAATCCAGCCGTGGACGGCGTCCTTGCTTAGTACGGGCCCGAAAGGCATGCCCGCTTTCGCAGCGGTGGGCCTCTATCAGTCGCCCTCTTTGCCGCCGTGATGCCCATTCAGCTAAGGAGCATCTGTCTGAGTCGGCGTACAGGCGTAGGGACGTCAAGGGCCATCCTGAGGCCTCCAAAGCCAATCTGAAGCGACAAGGCGAGAAGGCACACATCATTGAAACACCCAAGGATCCTTGACAACTTTTTCGCCTCTTGGGGACATGGTTGGGAGGTATCGCGACCACCTCGGGCCGTCTTACGGCCGTCTTGGGGCCTCTTGGATGCAGATTTGAGGCTATCGTGTTCCAATTTGGGCTGTATCATGCTACTTGGAGGTCATCTTGGCATATCTGAGGCCATTTCGAGCCCTCTATGGCCAAAGCGGACCCTCCGGCACCTTGCGCTCCCCCCCTATCCAGGCCCAGGGGAGGTCTTCCCTTCAAAAGGAGTGCAGGCCCTTCCAGTCCCCGCTGGTGACACGAGCGGTGTGGGGTGGATCCTGTCTTGCTGGACCGAGAGGCCCCAAGATGGCACAAGATCGCCCGAGATGGCTCACGTTGGCCTCGAGCATACTTCGAAGAAACCCCAAGCTGGCCTCAAGACGGCCCCAAGACGGTCCCAACACGGCTCGAGAATCTCTCAACGATGCCCCAAAGAGGCACGATTCTTTCAAACACATTCGAATTTCAATCACTTTTGCATTCTCGGCTTCGCTTCCGATGAGCCCTTGAGGCCTCACGATGGCTTCAATATGGCCCAACAGAGAGCCGAAGACTGCCTGGCAGGGGCCCAAGACGACTCCAGAAGCCCCAAGAGGACCCCAAGAGAGGCCCAAGTGGGCCCAAGAGGTTCCTAAGGCAGTTCGAAGCTGTGAAAAGGCCAGCTGGTCCCGCTCACCAGCAAGACGGCCCCCAGAAGCTCCGGAGAGGCCCTCAGGACGCTCCAGGAGGCCACCCAAGAGACCACAAGAGGCTTCTCACAGGCCTCAAGAGCTCCATCCTGAAAGGCATTCCAGCACCCTCCGCGCGTGGCTGGGCGAGGTGGGCAGTCTTCCAGCGGGGCGGTGAGGGGAGGGGCAACGCTCTTCCCAAGGGGGAAAACAGGGGCCACGAACATATTGGAAAGGAGTTCTCGGTGCCGACCTCACTTACTTCATCGTTTAGTTCCACGGGGAAGCGCGCTCTGTTCATATCGCACGAACTTACTAATTCAGGAGCGCCTAATTCCCCAAACAGTGTTTGCACTTAGGGGTTCTTACTTGGCTTAACTCTTAACCATTTCGGGGTGAGTGGCGGCTTTTGCGGGCGGTGCCGCCCGTCGCTGCCGTCGCCGTCGCCGTCGCCGCCGCTCGGGGCGAGTGGCGGCTTTTGCGGGTGGTGCCCCCCCGTCGCCGTCGTCGCCGTCGCATAGATTCTCTTGTCTTAAAAGAAATTAGATTCTACCCCCATCACCCCCCTGGGGTTATCCGCCACGCGTTTCGAGTGAAAATTCATATATGATCCTGACCATTTGTTCATTTTCCTTCTGAGTTCATACCATCTCAGGCCAGCCGGTATCGACCCCCCTCATCCCTTTCAAATAATACCATGCGGTGCACATGCGTTGATCTAAGATGAGCTTGTGGTACGAATCCTTATCAAGTAATACCATGCGGGTCACATGCGCGCGCGCAAGACGACATTCTTTCAACACCTTTGTTTTCGCAGCTATTTTAGCATCAGGGTGAGGGGGCTGAACCGAACGGTCATTCACTGTCCCTGTGTCCGTGGCTGAAGTGGATTTCCGCGATGCGGATTCTTCTTGTTGTTGTTGCTGTTGTTGTTGCTGCTGTTGTTGTTGTTGTTGTTGTTGTTGTTGCTATTGTTGTTATTGTTGTTGTTGTTGTTGTGGTTGTTGTTGTTGTTGTTGTTGTTGTTGTTGTTGTTGTTGTTGTTGTTGTTGTTGTTGTTGTTGTTGTTGTTGTTAGTTGTTAGTTGTTAGTTGTTAGTTGCTAGTTGTTGTTGTTGTTGTTGTTGCTGTTGTTGTTGCTGTTGTTGTTGCTGTTGTTGTTGTTGTTGTTGCTGCTGTTGTGGTTGTTGTTGTTGTTGTTATTG